AACAAAAGGCTTCCAAAGTCCACCTTTCAAGGTTTGACACTTTATTTTGGCTTGAGATTCATTTATTAGTCCTTAAAAAAACAAGCCTGGGAAAAAAAAATGACATCAGCATTTGGATGCATTTTGTAGATTAATGATCTTTTAATTTTCTATTCTTGATCGCATAAGCGTAATTTGTGAGAACTGCCTATTAAACGTTATAGAAAGAACATTTTCGACTTCAAATTTAATTTGCGATGTCATTTTCGTTGAACTCACAGTGACGTGCCATGATACCTAATTGAATGTCTGTGTGGTTGAGTGTTAACTTTGAAACAAAGATGCTGAAAATTATATAATAATTAAAAACGACTACTTTAGAGTTTACTAGATTTGACTAACACACCATTGGCATGTTCTAGCCGTTCTCCGGGGCTAGTTTGTATGTTCAAATGTCTCATTTTCGTCATAAACTGAATATATGAACTAATATAAAGTGCTGCTCATGTTTTTGTATTTGCTTTTTACAATAAACAGCAGAGCGGATAGATTCACTTCTGAATGTGCAAGGAGGGGGTTTTTCGTATACTTTCGACATCTGTGTTTTGAGCTATGGATTTTCTATTCCGATCATTTCCTTCATGTACATACAGTTGAATCACGTTTTCTATTTTTTCCGTGTGGTGACATGCAATAAAAAGAAATCAAACCCTTCTGATAACTAGAAGTCTGTTTGTATAGTTTCCTGTTTCTGCTTCTCACTCTGGAAACTCCACTTCAAAAAGAACGAAACTGTCCTTTTTATATACATGTATATATATATATATATTTAGTTTGGTCCTGTACCAAGAATAGCAATTGTCAGCGTCATTTATGGTTATTTTTTATAAGTTATTAGTTTAACAAAAGCAAGCTCGATGTTTTCATTTATCTGGTTTTTACTTTTACACTTTTGACGCCGTTTGTCAGAACAGGCACAAAGCAAGTGGTGACAAAGCAACTTTCGGTTGCGCTGCAGTGTTTAATACAGTGGGTGTGGACAGCTTGGCAGGAAAGGGATACAAAAACCAGAGCGTTCGCTGAGGATTTTAAAGCAGACGGGACTCTTTTTTTTCTGTGAGTACAGTTGCTTTTGTGCTAAGCTTGACCTCAGTGCTAACTCTTTCTCAATTGCGTCTGCATATAAACATCAGCTTACAGTAATCAACATTTGAAGTAGATTAAGATAGTCTTTCAAATCCTTGATGTTGTTGGATGATTTTAGGACGACTTTGGATGAAAGAACTTCAGATGTTGATTACTGTATTTTCAAATCGAAGCATGAAGGCGAATTGGCATCAGCAGGCGTAACTAATACCTTCAGACCAGCTTCTTTCAGAGTATAAACCTTACCTCAAGGATCCTTCATCCGACTGAAGTCATGTTTTGAGGTGGGTTGAGAACTTTAGAGATTTAAAGATGTTCAGAATTCGCTCACTAACAACAATCTTTCCCTTAAAGAGAGGTGTCCACCATGCCTGCTGAAGATGTTGGTCCAGGTCGCGGTGAACGGAGAAGGTTGTCCTGGCTGTTTTTGGTGCTGGTCGCCGCTGCCATTACCTCCTCTTCGCTGTCTGTGATCTCTCTTTACCATGTGCTGGCACTGAAGGCCGAGGTGGAGGGTTTGAGGGCAGAAGTGGCTCGCAAGAGAGAAGAGCAAAGCGGGATGCTGGATGAACCTGTGAACGACGCAGAGAAACAAACCCATCGGGAGGAAGGAGGAGATAGTGTTGAGGTTTGGATATATATGCACTTGTCTAATGGTTTTTAAAGGTAATTCGGTTGCATTCAGAGATTCTGTTGACATGTTTTCACAGAATTTTCAGATGTTTTTATTGAGCCAAGTTTTAGACAGTGCTTTACCGAAATGTTTTTATTTCTTTAACATTTGCTTGCACTTAAATGGATCTTATATTGAACACAAAACAAGATATTCTGAAGAATGTTGAATCAGTCTTATATTGACATCTGTAGGAACAAAAACACTGAAAGTCAATGGCTGATTTTTTCCTCTTCCTAACTTGCAAAGTTTATTTGATTCAACATAAAAATGCATAACTTTTTTGCAGTCTAAAACAGTTTTATAGATATAAACTTGAATGTAGAAAGCATAGTAACAATTTTAAACTCAAACCTAATAAGGGAGTCACAGAACCCATTATTCAACTAATTTGTTTAAATATCTAATAGTATTGCTAATAATATTTATGTATTAGATGCTACTACTAGTTTATTACATACTAGTACTTGTTTAATAGGTAGTGTTTAATTATAATTCTATTACTAGGGATATTGTACTTGACATCAATTGTAGTTGTATTGTATATTGCATTGTAGATATCTTAAAGACAGCGTTCCATAGGAGTCAATAGCCCCTTTCACACAGTGATACCGGTAAATTTCTGGAAAATTTCCGGAACGACTTTACCGGTATATTCAAAAAAGTGCTGTTCACACAGGCGAGGACGTTACGGAAATTTTCCGGAAAAGAGCATTCACACATCCATTCCAAAATACCGGTAAATTCTGACATCATTCACCACAAATGAGCTTTAAACGGCTGCGCTTGTATTTGTAAACATTTGACTAAATTACAAACTCTGTGGATGATCAATATTGTGAACAACTTTCGCAGGATCACTTTCGCATGTCGAGATGTTCATAATATGTGCGTGTGCAGACGCTCACAGGCTGTTTCAAAGGCACACGCAAAGCTTAAAGGTAAACAAACAACGGCTTATCATAAGCATGTCATCGATGATTATTTACACAGTTGGCATAAAGAAGAACATATAAACGTGATCTGACTAACTTCTAGCAGCTAAATGTGTCTGGAAAAATATTCAAAGGTTTTTATTTTCACAAACCGCGCGGACGTAAATGCGTCTGACTGTTGTGATTGGCCAAAGCAGACGTCTCACGTCAGCACGTTCTAGACGTGCACGCGCTTATTACGGGAATCTTCCTTCTGCATTCACACAGCGCAGCATTCCGGCAAATTGCCGGTAATGTTACAACTTCTCTTTCCGGAAAATAGCCAGAACGAATTTACCGGTATTTTCAAAAAGGACCTGTTCACACATACAAGCTTTCCGGAAAATTGCCGGCAATTTTCCGGAAAGGTCTGTATGTGTGAAAGGGGCTATTGACTGAACTTAAAAGTTTGTTACAAGTGCCTAGTAATAGAATAGTAACTAGTAACTGAGCATTGACATGTAATTAGTAAGAATTAGTATCTGTTTAATAGTTACTAGTATAATAAATAATTCTAGTGTTTTACACAAAATACTAGTTTCTTTAGAATTAGATGAGTCTTTTAGAAACCACTTCCTAAAAGTAAGCACTAACTGATAAATGAGCAATTGTGAAAAAAAAATCTAATAGTTATGTATTGCTAGTGTGTGTTAAAACTATACTAATGCATCTCAGCTGACCACTTCGGAAAATACATGAACGTCAGTTGGAAACAGTCTAACGATTTTGCATGGTGATGAGCAGATAAACATGATATGTACTATTTTAGGGTTCACGGGCGGGTTTTTTTTTTTTTTCTCATTTATTTCCCCATTCAAATTGACTTTTACTGACTGGTAGCTTGAAACACTATATTATATAATAAATAGTACTACATTTTATATTTATGTATTGGTATAGGTACAGTTGAAGTCAGAATTATTAGCCCTCCTTTTAATTGTTTTCTTTTTAAAATATTTTCGAAATTGTTTAACAGAGCAAGAAAATTTTCACAGTATGTCTGATAATATTTTGTCTTCTGGAGAAAGTCTTAATTGTTTTATTTTGGCCAAAATAAAAGCCGTTTTTTTTTTTTTTTTTTTTTTTTACCATTTAAGGTCAAAATTATTAGCCCCTTTAAGCAATATTTTATTTCTATAGTCTGTAGAAAAAACCATCATTACAAAATAACTTGCCTAATTACCCTATCTTGCCTAGTCAACCCTATTAACCTAGTTAAGCCTTTAAATGTCACTTTAAGCTGTATAGAAGTGTCTTGAAAAATGTCTAGTAAAATATGATGTGCTGTCATCATGACAAAGATGAAATAAATCAGTTATTAAAAATGAGTTAATAAAACTATTATGATTAGAAATGTGTTAAAATTGTCTCCCTGTTAAACAGAAATTGGAGAAATATGTATGTACACTCACTGGCCACTTTATTAGGTACACTTTACTAGTATTGGGTTGGACCCTCTTTTGCCTACAAAACTGCCTTACTCCTTAGGCATAGATTCAACAAAATACTAGAAATATTCCTCAGAGATTTTGGTCCATATTGACATGATAGCATCATGTGAATTTCCTTTTCCACCACATCCCAAAGGTGCTCTATTAGATTGAGGTCTGGTGACTGTGGAGGCCATTTGAGTACAGTGAACTCGGTATCATGTTCAAGAAACCAGTCTGAGATGACCCGCGCTTAATGACATTGCGTGTTATCCTGCCATCAGAAGATGGATACACTGTGGTCATAGAGAGATTGACATGCTCAGCAACAATACTCAGGTAGGCTGTGGCATTGACACGTTACTAAATTGGTACTAATGGGCTCAAAGTGTGCCAAGAAAATTTTCCCCACACCATTACACCACCACCACCAGCCTGAACCATTGATCCATGGCAGGATGGATCCATGCTGTCATGTTGTTGATGCCAAATTCTGACCCTACCATCTGAATATTGCAGCAGAAATGGAGACTCGTCAGACCAGGCAACGTTTTTTCAATCTTCTATTATCTAATTTTGGTGAGCTTGTGCAAACTATAGCCTCAGTTTCCTGGTCTTCTGCTGCTGTAGCCCATCTGCCTCAAGGTTGGACACGTTGTGTGTTCAGAGATGCTCTTCTGCATACTTTTGTTGTGGTTATTGTTGAGTGGTTATTTAAGTTATTGTTGCTTTTCTATCAGCTCGAACCAGTCTGCCTATTCTCCTCTGGCATCAACAAGGCATTTGCACCCAAAGAACTGCCGCTCACTGGATATTTTTCTCTTTTTTTGGACTATTTTCTGTAAACACTAGAGATGCTTGTGCATGAAAATCCCAGTAGCCACGTTCAAAGTCACTTAAATCCCCTTTCTTCCCCATTGTGATGTTCAGTTTGAACTGCAGCAGATCGTCTTGACCATGTCTACATGACTAAATTCATTGAGTCGCTGCCATGTGAATGGTTGATTAGAAATTTGCGTTAACAAGCAGTTGGACAGCTGTACCTAATAAAGTGGCTGGTAAGTGTATGTATGTAATACATTTGTAAATAAACAGAAAAGGTAGCTGCCAGCTCATTGGGGGTTTTGCAACCATAATCTGACTATAAATCCCAGACAATAAGTCACATCACACTACTGAAATGTCACTTAGACAGATTTAAGAGCTTTTTGAGATGTCTCTGGTGACCTGTTGCTCCATCGCCTAATTTTTTTTGTGTTACTGTGAAATAAAAAAAAAAAGTAAAAAAAAAAGAAATAAACCCTCTTGAACCTTGTTCAACGTGTGTTTTTATTCAGAAAGTGTTTCTTCTTTTGTTTGTTGGTCTGTTTACAGTATCTGCACCAGGCCGATATGGATATCACAACAGACCCTAGTGTCATGTCAAAAAGGAGCTTGAGTCATGTGCCAAAGAAAGCAGGCAAGTACACACTTCTGCTTATTTTGTGATGCTTTTTTAAGCATCAGTCTGAGAAGAGCACAGCTAAGGGTTTTTAGTTTACTGTCAGAAGTGTTGTGGAGCACAGATCGTGTACGATTAAAACCACATCTTAATGCATAAAAAACACGCACATTGTGCAAAAGTGCTTCATTTGACATTTGCATATCCTGTTGCCTTATGAGTCACTGAATCCAAAAGCTTTATTATTAATATTTGCGATGTATCACAGTAAGATTTGCTGTGTAAAACATATGCTATATAAATTGTCGGTTGATGAATAAAGGGATTAAGCCAAAGGAAATTGAATACATCACAGTAATCATCGTCATCTCTTATAGACACCTACGGAAAACATTTGCTGTTAAGAAATACGCATAGAGCATGCTCAAGGCTCTTAAACACGTCTTTATCCAGCGTTGTACATACATAAGACAGTGCAGGGCTGTGCTAATTACAAAGTTATGTTCTGAGGCTGGTTTAGAGATAGCATCTAGGTATTACCCAACGAGTATTAGAGGTTAATTATTGTGGTCTCCCAATTGCAACAGAGAAATACTGGGAAATCTCTGTAGACTGATGGCATTTCATGCAAGCATGTATGTAGACAACAGCACTTGGGAGAAACACATAAAGGCCAATAGAAGGAGGGGAAATAGTTTCTGTCTCCTTTTTTTATTCTTTAAGTCCCCGGGTAAACGCTGGGACGCCTGGCACCCGTCACAATACCGACAGCAACAGAGAAATGCTGTAGACTGTAATAGACTGTAGGTGGATGGTATTTCATGTCACATTCAGCCGTATAATCTTAAAATGTGAGCCATATCACCTGTTTTGTCATCACTTTAGACATTACGCTAGAGAATCATTCAAATACTAGCTCTAATGTGATGTTGGATGTGACGTCAGCTGCAGATGTGTATGTATGGCAGAAGCAAGTAGTTCCTCAAACCCCAATGAAATAAGCAACTGTTCCCTTCTACAGAACCTCAGCCCTGCTTACAGATGATGGCAGACAACAAGAAGAAAACCTTCCAAAAAGGTACTGGAGGAGTGTTCACGTGTACTCCTTTTGCTGGTGCATAACACATGCATTTTAGAAAGAGTTCGTTCAGTGTTGCCAGTTATAGATAAACTAAGTTGTGTGAGTGGAAAAAATACAGAACAGCATATAGTAGGCGTGTTCTGAAATATATTATGAACTTCACAATTTTTTTATCATGACATTCGGCATAAACGATTACCCTAAACTTCTTGAAAGAGTCAGTTCAGCCCAAATATTCTGTAACAATTACCAACAATTAATTATCACAGTTATGCTATTCCAAACTCATATTTTTCTTCTTATTTGTTGAAGTTTTTCCTGTGATATATATATATATATATATATATATATATGTATATATATATGTATATATATATATATATATATATATATATATATATATATATATATATATATATATATATATATATATAAAATTGTGCTCACTTGGTGATTTCAAAATAAAATCAGCCACTCCTGATAATTCATTGAGGTTTGTACACAACATTGAACATTATTTTCAAATTTCTTTACTGTATTTAACAGCATCTGGAAAATCCTGTGCATAGAGCTTGGTCCTCAGGACAGTTTATCAAGTCTGTATGTGGATTAAAGGTAGTAATATTGCAAGTAATGCTAATTTTGTTAAACAGACTAGATGTTTTACTTCATAAAACCTCCATTTATCATCAGGAACTGCGAAAGTTTGCCTGTATGTGTTATTTTGGTCCAGTAGGCAGCCAGAGACGAGCATTTTATGAATCGCCAAGGACCAC